TGATATGTAGGTAGATCAGACCCCTGCCTATCATAAGAAAAAAAAAAAGTTGCTCCATATTAAAAGCATACTCAAAGCCTTAATGACCAAAAGTTTTACAATACGTTATTTATGTTCAGACCAGTGACTTTGAATCTCTTCAGTCATGACATTCAGCATGGGGGCTCAGATCAGAATCTGTAATGAATGTCCATGAATGCCCTTTCTAAAAAGAATGACTGAGCCATCTTGATTTCCCTGATCTCACCTTCTGCTGGATACAATGAAGAGCATAAGTTGAGAAGCGGGGGCATTATAGGGTTGGGAGAGGATGACTTCTCCGTGATAACAATTTTAGCCATGCCTGAATCATCTAGGCAAATGGCATTCCTGTGTGCCTTCCACCTTCTCTCCTTGATCAGCAAAGGCTCTCAGAGGTCTCTAGTTGTTGCTTGTTCTCAGACACTGTAATACTCTGATTCTGTGATATAATTTTTTAGACCCATTAAGAGAAAGAGCTGTCCCAGAGACAAGGAAGGCCCCAAACGTGGCCCTGCTATGTGTGAGGGAGTATTCACATCCTCCTCCAGGAGTGCAGTCCATGTTGTGCACACTGAAAAATAGCAGGGCTTGACATTTATATTTTTCATCAGAGCCAAATGTACCACAAAGAAAGGATTCCCCCCTTGCCCTGTTAATGAAGAAGATAGTCTCATGGGGCTTGTGGAAGCAGCAACAGAACACTCTCCATAGATTGCTTTCTGGGAAGTTCCTTCCCAGAGCCTCTTAAGGCCTCTTTGATACCTTGGGATAGCTTGGTAGGAGCAATTAGTGTGCCAACTTCATCCATCGCCCAGTCATAAAATAACAGTGGTGATGTCATTGCAAAGAGGGGCTCCGAAGCGGCAAACATACTTGTGCCTAGTGGAATAGGCTCCAGTTCTAAGACAAAGTCACCTGCACAGCTCTATCTTTATTTTGTTGCCTTTTCTATCTTTAACAGTTGCCTGTGACACCATTTGCTGTATCATTTAAAAACTACATGCATATTTGTGTAACCAAATGTTCATCTTTATCAAATAATCTTATTCAAACTACAAGTATAGTTTGGATGCTGGACATGGTGGTTATTACCTTTAATTTCAGCACTCGGGAGGCAGAAGCAGGCAGATCTCTGTGAGTTTGAGGCCGGTCTGGTCTAGGCTAGCTAGGGCTACATAGTGAGATTCTGTCTGGGAAAACAAAACACAAAGTGTAGCTGGTATCTATGTGTTACGACTCAGAGTTAACACGTTCCATTGTTACAAAATATCACTGCTCAGACTTTAGGCAATGAAGTTTGCACCGTTCTATGATGAATCGGGAATTTGGGTTTTCCAGTAAAAGACAAGAATGCATAATACGATCTTCAAATGTTTGTTTTGTTTTATTGTTTGTAGAGGCACGATGTAAGTTATTCCATGAGAACTTTCATAACTGAGCTGTGTGACAGATTTGTTTTCAAGTTAAAAGTGAATCATTCACTACACAATGAAATTAAAAATAAATAGCCTGTGATGTATTTACCTGTCTGTTTTTCAATGTGTTTAACAAATAAAGATGACCATCATATATACATATATATGTTATTGAGGGTATTTACAATTTGAAGGCAAGTTACAACAAATTCGTTCTCATTTTGAAATAAATTGATTTTATTTACTCTGTAAAGCTTCTCAATGACACCAGCTTAATGCAATAAAAAACGCTTTTGATTAATAATTACAATTCAACTTAGCTTCCAGAGTAAATGAAACTAAAACAATAATCATTGTAATTACAAAAATAACCATTGGGGTAATAACACAACTTAATTCTCATCAGAGGATCTTCAGATCTTCTGTCACTGAAGTTCTGAGAATCAGACCAGAAATAAGGTGGGTGGCAATCACCTGATGGGAATTCTTGTTTGGTTGTTTGATTTTGTTTGTTTGTTTGTTTGTTTGTTTGTTTTGTAAGACAGATTTCTCTTTAACAGCCTTGGCTTTTCCTGGAACTTACTCTGTAGACCAGGCTGGTCTTGAACAAAGAGCTCCATCTGCCTATGCCTCCATGCCCTGAAGGCGTGTGCCACCAGTAGTCTGCAGAATTACAGCTAGCACTGTCAGTTGTATTGGATCTGTAGGTTGAACTCTCTAGACGTTACAATTCAAATTTTACCACGAAGTTATCATTCAAATACTATCTCACTCTTTTTCCATTTCATTTTGTGTGCATGGAAGTTCTGCCTTCATGCGCATCTGTGCACTCTACACACTCAGTACCTATGAAGGGCCAAAGAGGATATCCTATCTCCTGCAAACTGGTGCCACACACGGTGCCGAGCCCCCATGTGGGTGCTCAGAACTGATCGCAGGAAGAGCAGCCACTTTCTGTCTGCTCAGCCATCTCTCCAGATTCATATCTCTCTTATTTTTATAGTACAAAATTATTTGCCAGAACCTTAAGCAAGTTAAACAAGGTAATAAAATTGAATTAACCACATAGTTCTGTCCCCCACATGGAATGTTTTTTTCTTTAATTCTCTTGGAGCTATAAAGAAAAAAAAAGTTTATTCTTAATTGTAATTTTCACATCCCCACTCATAAGTAGCAAACCTGTCATATGCCATTACTGGAGTTTTCTAATACACTTCCACATTGTTAAATTAAATTTCAACAAATGTGTAATGTGGATCATGTTGACCTCATCTAATGAATAAGGGCACTGGAACACTGGACAGTTATGGTGTTCCTAAAGATAGACAGTAGGAGATCCCAGACATTCCCAGGCTTAGCTCACTTTCCACTACATCATCACGGACTCCTAAAATGACTCCAAGCAGAGAGCAGCTGTCCCTGTGAGAGTGGGGAGTTATTAATAGTTTTAATAAGTTCTTTGTAGAGCTCTGAATCAGTTTTCTGCAAACTTGAAATAATTAAACAATACCAGAATCTGATAATAGATGCAGTATATTTTTCTCTTGAGTTACAATCACCATCTATAGTCACCTGCATGTTCTCAAAACTAAGCAGAATAATATTAAGAAAATTACAAATTATGAAGGAAGAATGTCAACTAAATGCACATTTCTTAAAATGACATTTTATCAGAAGATGTGTCATTAGTTAAGATAAATCTCTGGCTTTGTAGAAGCAAATGTTATGTTGTTGTTACTTATTTTTATTAGATTATGATATGGGATTTCAAAATGGAATTTAAGAACCTATCTATCTGTTATCTGTTTGGATACAACCTAGAACCCCTGCTCAGATGTAGCCCATGGCAGCTCAGTATCCAAGTAGGTTTCATAGTAAGGGGAACAGGGACTGTTTCTGACATGAACTCAATGGCTGGCTCTTTAACCTCCCCCCTGCAAGGGAGGAACAGCCTTGTTAGGCCACAGATGAGGACATTGCAGCCAGTCCTGAAG